CACGGGTAGCCCAAGCTCTTTACTTGATATAAGAGAATGTATGTGAATCTATGTAAACAGTTGATTTATGGCATAAATATACAATGAATTTCGCTATAACTTATTGTGTGCATTATTATAGCTACTGGTAATCTCTGGAGCGATTTTCAGAACTTTTATGGATTTTTTTCCCCTCTTAATATAATCTGTGACAGGGTAGGAATCGAAGCCCTCCATATCCACTTCCAACAGCTCTAAATTTGGTCGATTTTTTCGTCGAAATTCAACTCCTAACGCAATGTGCCTTTGTACAGCTGTCAACTAATAACTTAYCACTGYAGAAAYRCTGGTTTCDTCGAGCCAGTTGATTTTCTTGAGMCATGAGCTCTCCTGAGGCAAGTAAAACCCGTGTCAAAACCGCCATTTTGCCACTGTGGCGGAGAAAGTACTGTACAAAAGCATGCAAAAATCCAACGTGCCAGGGAGGTCATGTCTACGAAATTAATTCAGTCTTTGTTTTTCTTCAACCATTCACAGGTTCGAGCGTGCCACATGGTCTTCGAATGTGTGCATGGAAAAGCCCGCATATCGCATTTACGAAATTCACACTCCATGATGGCTTGTTCGCCGAAAAAGCGAAGGAAACACGATTCCGCTACCTCTTTACACAACTCATAAAGAAACCCAATGTTACTTGTGTCACTCTGTCTTTTATAGAAGGGAAGGTAGTAGGAATTCAATGATTGTAATAAAGTGTCACAAATATGAAATTTTACTTTTCAACTGCTCTAAGCGATATACAGACAGCTCCAACGCGCATTTTCTATTATATTCAGTTTGTTTGTGTGCTCTAGGGAARTATGTTAAGYCCAAACGACCTAYCAAGCTCGAATTAAAGCAAAAGAGGTAGCGGAATCGTGTTTCCTTCGCTTTTTCGGCGAACAAGCCATCATGGAGTGTGAATTTCGTAAATGCGATATGCGGGCTTTTCCATGCACACATTCGAAGACCATGTGGCACGTTCGAACCTGTGAATGGTTGAAGAAAAACAAAGACTGAATTAATTTCGTAGACATGACCTCCCTGGCACGTTGGATTTTTGCATGCTTTTGTACAGTACTTTCTCCGCCACAGTGGCAAAATGGCGGTTTTGACACGGGTTTTACTTGCCTCAGGAGAGCTCATGGCTCAAGAAAATCAACTGGCTCGATGAAACCAGCATTTCTGCAGTGGTAAGTTATTAGTTGACAGCTGTACAAAGGCACATTGCGTTAGGAGTTGAATTTCGACGAAAAAATCGACCAAATTTAGAGCTGTTGGAAGTGGATATTGAGGGCTTCGATTCCTACCCTGTCACAGATTATAGTAAGAGGGGAAAAAATTCATAAAAGTTCTGAAAATCGCTCCAGAGATTACCAGTAGCTATAATAATGCACACAATAAGTTATAGCGAAATTCATTGTATATTTATGCCATAAATCAACTGTTTACATAGATTCACATACATTCTCTTATATCAAGTAAAGAGCTTGGGCTACCCGTGGTT